TGATACGGTTTCCATAGCAACTGATTCATTGGAGGGCTAGACCTCTGTCTAGGGTGCTGTCAGTGTATGTAGAGTTTCAGTGAACAGAAAGTCCCAAAGAAGGGTCTGCTTCTACCTAATCCAGTTTTAATTGAACTCTAGAGACTTTGAAGTGAGGCCGCAGACCAGGAATATACCATTCCAATAAGAAATAAACCTCTTGCTCAGCTAGGCCTCAGCTGCTTTTCAGTACTGACACCTTTTCCTAATGAATACTTTAAATAAATGTTATTATATCAATTTCAGCTGGTAATTCTGTTAATTAAGAGAGTCTTTGTTTCTATTTTAAACCCTCGCTCTCTTGACCATAAGTATAGATTTTTCACTTAAATTTTTTTAGGTCAGACTATTTGTGTGTGTGTGTGTGTGTGTGTGTGTGTGTAAGATTTTAATTTTTTATTTGAAAACATACAAAACAATGCTGGATATTATTTATGGATGTAAATGTACTAATAGGATAAAAACTTATGGAAATGATAAAACCCAAAACAGGGATAGTGATTGTCTGATGAAGAACGAAAATTGGATCAGGACAAGTTATCCATGGGAATTGCAACACAATCTGAAAGGTTTTACTAGTTTTTTAAATGTATACGATAATGTAGCAAAATGTCAGGATTTTATAAGTTTGAGTCATGGGTACATGGATTATGTCATTTTCTATAGTTTTTAATATGTTTGACATTGGGTAATAAAACAAATTTTAAAGAAGGGTCTGTGATTTGCTGTATTTTAAGTATATTTTTTAATAACTATACTGCTTAAAGGAATGAGATATAAATTGAATTTTTTGAATAATTGGAAAATTATTTCAGTACATTAGTCTTATAACAATATTTTAGTATTCTTATTTGTGTTGCTAATTGGAGTATCCTAGACTATAATTAAATCTTTAGTTGCTTGACCATGACTACAATGACTGAGATCACCGTTATGAGCAACAGGTCTTATTATAGAGCTCTGGAGTTACAAAGCGTGGGATTTTCAGACCAGTGTGTGATATTTTTAAAATATCACAGAACTTAAAGGATCCTTTGCCGTCGTTTTTTTTTTTTCTTCTGATTTTTCTCTTTCACCTATAACTCAAGTGCAGGAAAACAAATATAGTCGATTTCAGTTTCTAATGAGCTGGGTTCTACTTTAAAAAACATTTACACCCTTTTTAAAAAGGTAACACTATGCTATATATGTGCGCTCTGGATTTTTGGATTAGAAGACCTAGGAGTAGGCCAGATTCTGCCACTAACTTCCTAAGGGGCATTGCATGAAGTATTTAACTTGTCTGCATCTTGTTTTCCTTTTTAATAGCAGGATAGATTAGATAAGTGTTACAGAACATATATTGGATTCTCTAGCATTCGATAAGTCCAGGGTGGCAAACTCTAATGCCATTGGAAACTAGGGAGATTAAAGGAGCGAATGAGTGGAGACTGCTAAAATGGAGAGGGTACTCCATTTGTTATTGTGTGGCATATAGATACAGGTTTGACAGATATTCCAGGTTTTCCTGAGAAACCAGAAATCCGAAGGTTTACGTAAATACATCCATTTTCTCATGTATTTTCAACTACTTTAAATTTTGTTAATATAGCATATGGCCAGAACAAAATAAATATGGGCCAAATATGGAGCTTAGGTTACCATCTGTGGATTTATTTAATCATTCACAAATATCTATGTCAGAAATGTCTAGAAAAGGAAAGAGAATGTATTCAAAGTCTTTGCTCTAGAACAACTTAGATTCTGGTATTCTCATGCCAAACAGAGGCAATAGATAAGCTAACAGATGTTGTAAGTTAAGGTAATAGTAAGTGTTATGATGGCAATCTGATGAGTTTGGGGTTGGGACAAGGTGGTATTGGAGGAAGTGGGATTTAGGTCCTGCAGCTTTTCTAAGGAGGTGACATTTGAGCAGAAACCTAAATTTGAGAATGAGCCAGCCATGTGACGATTTGGGAGAACATTCCAAGCAGAGTGTAAAGCAAGTACAAAGGCCCTGAGGAAGAATGAATTGGGCTCATTAGAAAGCCCCAGATGTAAGGCTTTTATAAACGGTTATAAAGAGCTTCGGGGTTTATGTAACAAGCTACATGTAATACGAAGCCACTGGATGGTATTAAATACATGAGTAATGTGATCTGATTTATAGTTAAATTCGTTGTTTCTTTGGCTACTCTGGTCACAGTAGACTTGAGAGCAGCGGTTCTCAACCTGTGGGTCGCGACCCCTTTGGGGGTCGAACGACCCTTTCCCAGGGGTCGCCGGGTACTCGTATGTGGGCATATCTGCATGTGGGCCTGGAGACGGATAGAGGAGCGGTGTCTCGGTTCCTAAGACCATTGAAAATATGTGTTTTCCGATGGTCTTAGGCGACCCCTGTGAAAGGTTGAGAACTGCTGCTCTAGAGTGTAGAGGTAAGACTAGAAGGAGAGAGACCAAGTAGGAGCCACTGCAGACTCTGGAGTCTTGGACCTACTGGTCATGGTGAGAGAAAGGCGTACAATGCGACCTGTGCTTTGAAAAAAAATCTTGTGATGAATACCCATATTTTTGTTCTCTCTTTTCTTGTTTATTTAAAAAATTATTAAATTTATTGGGTGACATTGGTTAGTAAAACTATATATGTTTTAAGTGTACAATTCTGTGATACATCATCTATGTATCACATTGTGTGTTCACCACCCAGAGTCAGTTCTCCTTTTGTCACCAAATATTTGATCCCCTTTACCCTCTTCTGCCAAACCCCTGTCCCCCTTACCCTCTGCCTCTGGTAACCACTAAACTATTATCTGTGTCTGTGAGTTTTTGTTCGTCTTGTTCGTTTGTTGCTTTCAGCTTTATATCCCACATATGAGTGAAGTTATATGGTTCTTAACTTTTTCTGTGTGATTTATTTCGCTTATCATGATACTCTTAAGATCCATTCATGTCGTTGCAAATGACAGTGTTCCATCTTTTCTTATGGCTGAGTAATATTCCATTGTGTATATGTGCCACTTCTTTTTTATCCAATCATTAATCAAAGGACACTTCGGTTTCCATGTCTTGACCACTGTAAATAATGCTGTAATGAATATGAGAGTACATATATCTTTACAGATAAATGTTTTCAGATATTTTGGGTAGATACCCAGGAGAGGGATTGCTGGGTCATATGATAATTCTATTCTTAATATTTGGAGGAACCTCCATACTGTTTTCCATAGTGGCTGCACCGATCTGCCTTCCCACCAGCGGTGCATGAAGGTTGCGTACTGGCCGTTTGTGTGTCTTCTTGGGAGTAGTGTGTGTTCCAGTCCTCTGCCCATTTTTAAATTGGATTGTTTGGGGTTTTTTGTTGGTGAGTTGTATGAGTTCTTAATATATATTTTTGATATTAGCCCCTTATCAGAGGTGTTGTTTGCAAATACTTTTTCCCGTTTGGTTGGTTGCTTCTTTGCTGTGTTGATGGTTTCTTTTGCTGTGTAGAAGCTTTTTCGTTTGATATTGTCCCATTTATTTATTTTTGCTTTTACTTCCCTTGCCTCTGAGTCAAATTCTGTTCATTTCTTTTGATCATATTCACACAGATATTGCTTATATGAAAGAATAAGTAGGATTTATCTATCACCTTTTTTAAAACCGAAAGTATGATTAGTTGTTTAGTCCTTTGAATTATTGTTTTGTTTCTCAAAAACACTGAGCTTTAGAGTTTTACCCATTTTCCATTCTAGATCCTGTGGTGCCAGAATGGAATCATTTCTGTAGAAAAATCAAAATACATACGTAGTGAATTAAATAGTTTTGCTCTTTTTCTTTTCCCTAAGGAAACTGCATCTTGCATTGCAGAATATAGGTTTGTTTGCAGTTAAGATCTAGAAAATGGAAACGAGTAAAGGAAGTTTTGTAGGATAAATTCTTACTACTCCTTACTTTTCCTTTCTTTGCTTATCCCATCTTTGTCCCTACAATGCAATATCATAATCAAATATCATCTTATTTGTATTTCTTTTATGGTGGTTACTTTTGAGAAATCTATCTTAAACGTTTAACTTAATTCTGATTTTTATGGATTTTCATCAGTTTTTGATAGCAAACACATCTTGTATTCTTATTAATATGTGAAGGGCTGGTGTGGAGAAATTCCATGTCTGTTTTTCCTTTAAAACCTTCATAATTATGCTTCTGAAATGAACCTTTTAAAAAACAAAACTTGAATAACAAATCTACAAAGTGGCTCAGGACTAAAGACAGGATTACTCTTAGTTGGCAAAGCATTCTGAGCTACTGTGTCTGTCACATGGGATGACAAGAATTCTAACAAGTTACTTTGACAACCACCTACTCCATAGAGAGATTATGCTGAGTTCATTTGCAGGTTTGTGTTTAGCCTCCCTGACAAAATGATACTTAACCTTTTATACAGTCAGTCTTGATGCTTTCTGAGTGAGTGACTGTTGCCTAACAGTGACCTTAAAAGTGTGATTTTTAAGATAAGAACTTAAATATATATTTTAAAGTATGTAAGAAGTACTTCTGGGTCTATTAAAATCATAGTATATGAAACTGAATTGTATATGTGATCTGTAAGCATGTAGGACATTCTTTTCAGGTGTTCCTTCTTTTTAAGGTTTTATCTAAAACTTTTAATATGACAAAATACAGTCACTAAATAATGCAAGACGTATTTCTTCACAAACAGTAAATTATATCACTGCTTTAAAAAGCTCCCAAACATACTTATAAATATATTTGGGAGTTTTTAAAATTTTCCTCTGCTTTTTCATTTAAGCTTCCTTTTTCCATAAGTTACAGTTTATTTATTTATTTTATTTTTTAGTCCCCTTCCAATTTTTTTTAATAGCTGTTTATTCAGTTCTGAGAAATTATTTTTCTTAATAAGGGTCTTTTCTGTTTTAATTGGGGAGGGGGGCCAAAAATTCTATTGTTATTTACTTGGGATTGTTTTTTTTCCTCCCTAGATCCTGGCATATACAGAAGGGCTTCATGGAAAATGGCTGTTCACAGAGATAAGATCAATCTTTTCTCGTCGCTATCTTTTGCAAAATACAGCCCTGGAGATCTTTATGGCAAACAGAGGTAATATGTTGCAGAAGTATATTGTTCCAAAGCTAAACTCAGTCTCTTTAAGATTTCATTTTTGAATATACCATATTGTTTTCATTTTAGACAGTATTCTGTAGTCTGCCCTCTGCCCTACTGGCCCTTTTTTGATCCACGTGCATCTTTCTGACCCCCCCTCACTTCCCCCCTCCCCCATCATTTTTATAATTATTTGTAGTAGTTTTATTTTTCTGGCATATCACAAATTAGCCCAGGCTTTACTAATATGGGGAACAACCAGCCATTTAATCAGTTGTGGGATTTTGATGTCCTCTGTATTGCTTTAATGCTTAAACTCATTCTGGAAGGTGGCTGCATTTGGAGAGGATAGCAGGGTCATCACATGATTCATACATTTATTTAATCTTTTGTCTAATCTATTGCCATTTATAAAGGGACCATCAGAAAATGGCACTGAATTGTCTTCGTTGCTTTGTATTACGTCATTCCTGAAAGAACTAAAATTCAATTTGTGGGTTTAAAATAGAACTTGGTGAAATTCATTAAGGCAAGAAGGAGAGACAAGGTGAATGTGAAGGCAAAGAATCGTTCAGTGTGAGTGGAGGCATACAAGGGAGAATATATAAAACTTAGTGACCTGTTATACATACTCCTTATACATAAGCAGGAGGAAGTTTTCTTATGTTCTCTTTCTATAATCTACAAGTTGTCATTTTAAAAATCTACACATAGTAACACATAGCCCATGCACATTTTTTTTTTTTACCTGTATGAAATCATGTCTTTTGGGAATACAGATTTCTGTAGGTAAAGATGTTTTTTCCTTTCCTATTTGGCCTCCTCCCCCACCCCTACCTCATTTTCCTAGTGTAAACATCATTCTTCCAGGCAAATAATCAAGTGAATGTTTCACATTTTAGTTCAGTCTACATTCTTGCTGCCCCAAAGGAGTTTAAACATTATAATATTTATTGCTTGTTCATTCTCATTCTTTTTTCTTCTTTAAAATTTCCTATGGATCCTTGCTTTTTTAAGTGTGTTTTTCTGTTGCCTTTTCTACATGATCTTGGTCATCTGCCATAGTCGGTGGTGGTGTTTCTTTTATTTTTTTCCTTTTCCTTGTATTCAGTGAATAATGGATGCATAAGAAAGACTTATTAAAAATATGTGTTGGGCATGTAGTGAATGATCATGTACGTTTTGTACATGTACATTACATGTTGGTAATGCCAGGGTCTAAAATCTACACCAAATTGATGAGTTTTTTTGGCCAGAAGTATTTTTTCAGGCTAGGTGAACACTCGGAGCTTATAGCTGGTTCTGATAATTGAAATTAATATAATTAAAAATTCAAATTAATTAGTTTTATTCTCAAATTAATTAGATTCTCATGATTTTATGACTGTTATTTTCACACTTTAAGGATAAAAATTTATAGATGACTTTAAATAAATTAGCATTTATATGCTGAATATGTTTATATATACAGTTCTGGCATGTTTCTGTTATTTGCAAAATGTATACTTACTAAAATGGGAATGATTAGAAAGCATTTAAATTTAATTATTAACCATAGAAGAAAGCTTTTCCTTCAAGTCACATATTGTTCTGCATTATATGAACATATAAACATAGAATCATTATAAGGGGAATATGTTTTAAACTGTTCATAATTGGAAATAAATGTAACAATTTTGTATCTGTTATCTGTCATCTTTTTCGTATTAAATTTTTAACTAAAAAAACCTTAAAATTTAAAAGTTTTTTAAATTAAATTTATTGATGTGACATTGATTAGTAAAATTATATAGGCTTCAAGTGTACATTGCTCTAATACGTCATCTGTATATTGCATTGTGTGTTCTTAATAGAAATTCAAAGATATATATTAACTTGCCAAAATTTTGTAATTTCAGTTTGTGGCTAGATAATCTGAGCTTCATGTCACATTAATGCCACAACAGTTACTATAATTCCAACAGTATTTAGAGAAGGAACTATCTATGGTATAGGAGTTTATAAATGAAATGAATATTACCTCTGATATGTTAATATAAAAGTTGGCATGCACTATAATAAAAGTAATATAATAAGAATTATATTTAATAAATACCTGAAGTTAGAGTAAATGTTTATTGGACCAAGAAGACAGTTTTCTAGAAAAGCAATCATATTGCGTTCTAACTTTTAAAATCTGTTTTCCATAGTTGCTGTAATGTTCAACTTCCCTGACCCTGCAACAGTGAAGAAAGTGGTTAACTACCTACCTCGTGTTGGCATTGGAACTTGTTTTGGATTGCCTCAAACCAGGTACTGTTTTATATGAGAAAAATATGGAAAATAATCTGTCCTTACTTGTTTTGAAACGCATGACCTTCTGTTTTATGTTTCATAGTGAATGGTTATTAGTGTATTGTTTTATTTTGAGTCAACTAAACTTCTGTCTTAGGAAACTAGAAAAAGAGGAGCAAATGTAAACCAAAGTAAACTGAAAATAAAATCAGCATAAACGCAGAACATCAATGAAAAAGTAAACACCAATAAAGAAATGTCAGTATAATGAAAAGTTGTTTCTCTGTAAAGATTAATAAACATCTGTACAAGATTTATAAAGAAAAAGAAAGGAGATACAAATCTCCAGTACCAAGAATGAAAGAGAGGGCATCACTACAGATCCTTCACACATTAAAAGGAAAATTAATATTATGAACAGATTTATGCTACTTAACCAGACAACTTAGATGAAATGGACAGATTCTTTCAAAGACACAAATTATCAAATCTCCCTAATGAGGAATGATTAACCTTAATAGATACACAGAGGAAACAATTTGTAGCTAATATTTAATGAAGAAATAACACCATTTCTAGGCAAACTCATACAGAAAATGGAAAAGAAGGATAAGTTTCCAATGTCATTCTGTGAGGCCAGCATTATGTGAATTCCAAAGCCACATAAAGGCATTACCAGAAAAAGAAACTATCAACTGTCGTGTTTGGAAAGGAAGACATAAAACAGTTTTTATTCGAAGATATACATGGCTTATACATGCTTTTATGTGGAAATTCCTGGGGAACCTACAAAAAAACCCCCAACATATTAGAACTAATAAATGAGTTTAGTTATATTGTAACATACAGAGTTAACGTACAAATTTTCATTTTTTTCTATATACTAGCAATGAACAATTGGAAATTGAAATTAAATGTACCATCTAAATAGTAGTATTTAAAAACAAAGTAACTGTAGATAAATTTGTAAGACTTGTTCACTGAAAATCATAAAACACTGTTCAGGGAAATTAAACCTAAAAATGGAAAGTTGTACTAGACCATGTTCACGAATTGAAACACTCAATATTATTAAGATGTCAGTTTTCTCTGAAACTTGATCTAGAGGTGCAAATCGGTCCTACCCAAAATCATAGAAGGCTTTTTTGGAGAAATTGACAAGCAGATACTAAAATTTAAGTGGGACTACCAATATCCATAATACCTCAAACAATTTTGAAAAAGAAAAACATGATTTGGAGGACTTTTATTATCTGATTTCAAGAATTAATATAAATTACATTAACTAGTATAGTTTACTATTTGTGTGAATAGACATAGATGAATAGAATATAATAACATCCAGAAATAAATCCTTACATAAATAGTCAATTTGATTTTCAACAAGATATATCCATGGGGAAAGAGTTTTTTCAACAAATGATGGTCAATAATTGGATATCCATATGCCAAAACAAACAAACAAACAAAACCAAAACCACAAAACCTTACCCCTTACTGCACAAAATGTATAAAAAATGTAACAGGAAAAAAAAAAGTGACATAACCTAACCATAAATGCTAAATTAAAATGTCCTAAAGAAAACAGGAGAAAAAATTTTTGTGACCTTGAGTTAGGCAAAGATTTCTTAGATGAGACTCAAAAAAATTTCATTAACTGACCTTCAAAATTAAAAACATTTACTTTTGAAAGACATTCTTAAGAAAATGTAAGGATATGGTACAGACTGGCTCAAAATATTTGTACAACATACATGTGATAAACATATAAATGAACCTGGTTAAAAAAAAAATAGGTCGAGGATTTGAACAGATACTTCAACAAAGAATAGGTAACAAATATTAAACACATGAAAAGATACCAAATATCATTGATCATCTGAGAAATGCCAATTAGAAACCATAATGTGACCCCATAGCACACCTTTTAGAATGACTTTTTAAAAACTGACATTACCAAGAGCTAATAATGATTCAGACTAACTGAAATGTCACTTGTTTCTAATGGGAAAGTAAAGGGGTATGGCTGCTTAGAAAACAGTTTTGCAGTTTCATGTAAAATTCACCATACACCCTTTGAGTCTCATTTGAAGTCTCGTTAGTGACCTGTTCACAAATATAACAGCTGTATTCATAGACACAAAAAATTGGCAATAGCCAAGATGATCATCAACTTGTGAATGGATAAATAGTAGTACATCCATATAATAAAATATGCTGCTCAGCAATAAAAAGGAATGAACTACTGATATATGGAACAGCATGGGTGAATTTGAAAAGTATTATGCTAGGTGACAGAAGCCAATATAAAAGACTACAGACTGTATGATTCCATTTATATAACATGTTGGAAAAAATAAAACTATTTGGATAGAAATCACATCAGTGGTTGCCAGGGGCTAGAGGTAAAGGGGCAGAGTAGTTATAACGGAAGTTACGAGCGAAACTGGATGTCATGGAAATATTTCATATCTTGACTCTTGTGATATTACACAACTGTATTTGTTTGGCAAAACGCATTGCATTGTATACCTAAAAAAGGATGAATTTTGCACTATGTAATTTATTCTTCAACAAACTTGATTTTAAAAAATAGAAAAAGGTAAAGGATGTGAAATGTTAATGAGGATACACACACAGCATCAGGAACTCTAGAACCATGCTAGTAGGAATATACAACAAATTAGTATAATCACTATGGAACACAATTTGCCAACTTTTTTTTTTTTTTTTAAAGTTTGCAGCAGAGGATAGTTTTATTAGAGCAGAAAGTTACAGCTTTCAAAACGAGAGGGTGTCCTGACTGGGATGCCCCTGCCAGCTTTCTTACAAAGTTAAATATACACATAATTGATGTCCTATAAGTTCCACTCCTAGGTGTTGACCAAGAGTAATGAAAATGTACTTAGACACATTCACTTGTAAGCAAATGTAATAGCAGTGTTATTCATAATAGTCCCTAATGTCTATCATCTGTAAATGGATCGAGAGATTGTAGTGCACCCACACAGTGAAATACTACTCAGAAATAGAAAGGAATTGACTACCAATACATGCAACAGCATGGATGAATTTCAAAAGCGTTATGCTAAGTAGAAGAAATTAGGCTCCATGGGCTCTACTCATCATAGCCATGGGCTGTGATTCTATTTCTATGAAATTACTGAAAATCAATACTGTAGAGTGACAGATAGCAGATCATTGGTTATCAGGAATCAGGAACTCTGGGAGAAGGGCATTAGCTGCAAAGGGATATGAAGGGGCTTTTTGCAGTGTATCTTCATTGCGATGGTGGTTACGAACAGGTGTATATTCAAACCTTATTTAAGTGTACGCTTAAGGTTGGTAAATATTATATTAAATTTTGTGTCGATAAAGATCATGGAAATAATAAGCTCTCTGTATTTAGAATAAGTTGCAAAAGTGTTTATTACATGCACATTATCATGTGCTGTTAGCATGTATGAAAAATCAGAGTAACATTTTTTATCATTTTGTTAAATACTTTATTATGTTATTGGTTGTATTTTTTCTTTGTTGATATAAATATGAAATATATAAATATGAAATTAAGGATTTTGTAGCTATATTTAAAACGTTTATCTTTGATCTCTGAAATCAGAACTCAAATATTAATTTTGTGTGTAGCAGTATATGTATAGACTTAGTAACTAGTGTTTATATTGGCCAAGTAACTGCCTGAGAGAAATGTTAAAATGTCAAAGCATCTTTCATGATATAAGGAGTTGGGACAGTGGGGATGGCATCTCTTTACTGTGTGCCCATCAGCTGGCTGTATTCCAATAGCACTATCATTAATTATTTTCTTTCATAGTAGGTAGTGATTCATCATCAATACAGTTTTGTAACTAATTTTAGGACTGGGAAGAGAATGAACAGAATTTTTCTGTTGAAATCTTGAAATATATTAGCTGTAGAAACTTCCAGCTTACTTTTAGCGTACCTAATTTTGTATTGATTTGTTTTGTTTTTGATTAGTGTTTAGTTCAGTTTTGTTAGGTAACATCTTATTACAAATGCAATTGAAATAGAATAAACAAACAACAGTCAGGATGTCAGTAGGTGCTACAGCCATCCTGAGGTTGGAGGACTTTCTGAGAAGCGAGCACATGCCCCTGGGCAGTAGTCCTCGGTCCCTCCCCGAGTCGGCCTCCACATGGGCTGCTTGAGTGTCTGCGTGACCTGGGAGCTGACTTCCCCCAGAGCAAGTACTCCACGAGAGAAGGAGGCAGAACCTCAATGTCTTTTTATGACCTACCCTTGATAGTCACATGCCGTCATTGCTGCTACTGATATTTGTTAGAAGTGAGTCATTAAATACAGCCCGGTTCCAGGGCAAGGGATTCAAG